TGATACTGTTGTAACCTTGAGTGAGACTTAAACTTCCTGAATCTGTTTTCTTGGAAGAACTGAGATAATATGTGTAAAGCGCTTAGCCTAAGGTCCAGCATATAGTAAACTCTCAATAAATCCACTGTGTTATCTTAGCCCATCTGGTGTCTTCCCTCTCCCTTTCTCCACTCCTCAACCAATCCCAAAACGCTTTAGAATCTTGAATCTTTCTTAAAACATCATGCACTCTTCATCCTCCCTTGTCACTGTTTTAATTTGTTCTCTCATCATTGCTCACCTGTGATACTGCAGGTGTGTATTAATCAATTTCCAACTCCAGTTAGAGCCCTCCTCTCTCACTCCCCCATCCGTTCCTCATGTGGGTGGTTCCCAAATGTGGAAGCACATGGGATTTCCTAGGAAATGTTTTGGGTTTTTTTTTAAAGATTTTTATTGGGGAATTGGGGGCATGGGAACAGTGCAGGGGAATTGGGGGAAGGGGAACAGACAAGTTGCTGTCGTTTGTTCTTCAGTCTAGTTGTGGAGGACGTCGCTTCACTGGCCCAAGTTGGCACCATCATTGCGCTCTTCCCGGGCGNGTCTGAGTGAAGAACTAAATTTTTAATTTTATTTATTTTTAATGAATTGAAATTTAATTGGCTACATGTGGCTAAGACTGACAGATTCAGCGGGTAAAGAACTAGTGAGCTCCTTTTAGATTCAGTTTATTACTTATGTAGATAGTGAAAGCAAAAGAGGCTAAAGGTGCCAGCTCTCTGAGTCCTTGTCTCACACACCAAAAGGATGACACTGAAACAAAAGGGACCCGATGACTTCAACACAGTTGTGATATACCGTGTTGTTGAAAAGTCAACTCTAGACTGCAGCAAAATGGCATAGAGCCTACAGCTTTGCCCTAAAGGGGTGTGGGAGGGAGCTAGAAAGTCTCTGCCTCTGGAATCAGGGAGGTGGATGGGAAAATTACCCTGTGGCAGCCCCACCCCCACCCCCAAGATGGGGAGAGACAGATAAGAAAACAACCTTGTGAAGCCTCCTTTGAAGATTGCGTATCTTGGAATGTTCCTGGGCATTTCACCCAGATTTTAGGTCATATGGTGGTTCAAGCTTTGCCTGTGGACACATGGCAGAGCCATTCTGCTGCGAAGGGTCTTAAGTGCTAGGCCAAAGGATAAACTCTTTACCCTTAAATGAATCTGGCAGCGATAGCTCAATAATTGTTTGCTATTAGAGAAAAACAGGGAATTGAGGACAGAATATAATTTGAATAGCCATTTCAAATAATCAGTTTCCTTACTTGTTAAATGATTGTGGTATATGATTTTCTTTTCAATTTTCCTGGACCCATTGTTCCCTTTTTAAATTGTGTGCTAAAGATGATGCACAGTGTAACAGGACAAGTTGGATTACCAATTAATATAAATTCCATTGATCAGTCGCTTGATTATAAAGACTGCGTTTTTTTTTTTTGGTGTGTCATCCTTCGTGAAATGATTGAGAAGATGGCAATTCTTCACCACTCATCTTACGAGATTTGTCCCTAGTTCTTACGTCCTCTGCTCCAGTTAAATTTATCCTAAAAAAAAATCACCCTATCAGACCATAGACATATTTGTAAATTGAAAATGCTTGGGTGGCATAATAAATAACAAAATGAGAAAAAAACCCTAAAAAGCAATAATTTTTTTTTTAAGATTCTATTGGAGAATTGGGGGAGGGGAACAGCATTGGGGAATTGGGGGAGGGGAACAGACAAGTTGCTGTCCTTTTGTTCTTCAGTCTAGTTGTGTAGGACGTTGCTTCACTGGCCCATGTTGGTATTATCATTGCATTCTTCCCGGGTGAGGCAGTTGCTCGCCGGCCATTGGACAGCCACTCACGATGGCTCAGGGCAGCTCATGACAGCTCACGAAAGCTCATGCCCGCTGCTGGCCAGCCCACTGCAGCCTACGCCTGTTGCCGGCGACTCACAGCAATCCAGCTCCAGGTCGAGCTGTTGTTGTTCACCATCTTAGCTGTAGAGAGCGCAGCATTACTGGCCCTCATGTGGGATCCGAACCAGGGCCCAAGCTGGCGTCCCAAGCCAATCTCAACCAATGTGCCACTCGTCTGTTCCTTGATTTTTTTATTACACCAATAGTTTGTTTACTCCCTTAACTCATTCCACCAAACATAAGGGGAGTTTGGAGTAAGTCATTCCGGAAGGAGAGGCAAACNCTTCTTTTTTTAAAATACATTTTCTTTTCTTTTTTTAAATTTTTATTGGGGAACAGTGTGTTTTTCCAGGACCCATCAGCTCCAAGTGAAGTAGTGAAATAGGATCCTGATGTAATTTCCCAGGGTTGTGACCTTGCCGTTACCAAAGAATGGAAACGCGGATCAGAGAGGCAAGGTTTTTAAGCAATAGTAGTATTATTGCAAAAGCATAAGAGAAAAAGCACAAGGGAAAGGTCTGCAGATCCGCAGAGAGGGGAGATTAGAACAAAAAACCCCATGGGCTGGGCTAGGCTGGGAACTATAATGACCCTGAGCCAGAGCTGATTGGTTTTCCCCATGCCTGGTTGGGCTCTGTAGTTTGAAATAGTTTATCACAATCTAATTCGCTACTTACACCTGGGCTGACAACCTTAACGGGCTTTGTCCTTCGAACTTGCTTGTTGATTGGCTCTTCCCTTACACCTGGGCTGATAATTTTTGATGGGCTCTTCAGCTTGACTTCCTTTGTTAGTCATTTTAAAGTTATTGGCAGCCATTTTCCTGACTGCCTATAATTTTTCTGTCTCAGTAATTGTTTCAATCTAGTTGTGGAGGGCACATCTCAGTGGCCCATGTGGGGATTGAACCGGCAACCTTGGTGTTATGAGCACTGCGCTCTAACCAACTGAGCTAACTGGCCGTGCCTTTTCTGTGCTTCTCTTAGTCATAGTAAACACAGCTGTCTATTTGTTTTGTTTTGTTTGTTTTTTTAAAGATTTTATTGGGGAATTGGGGGAGGGGAACAGCATTGGGGAATCAGGGAAGGGGAACAGACAAGTTGCTTCACTGGCCCATGTTGGTATTATCATTGAGCTCTTCCCAGGTGAGGCAGTCGCTCGCCGGCTATTGGACGGCCAACTACGGCGGCTCTTGGCAGCTCATGCTGGCTGCCGGCCACTCACTGTAGCTTATGGCAGCCTACGGCAGCCCCACTGCAATCTATGCTGTTGCAGGCGACTCACAGCAGCCCAGCTCCAGGTCAAGCTGTTGTTCACCATCTTAGCTGTAGAGGGTGCAGCGTCACTGGCCCTCATGTGGGGTGGGATGGGATGGAAGGGGGGGCGGGGGGGGGGCTCTGCTGCTCAGAGCTGATGTCCCAAGCCAACTCTTAACCAACGCAGCACCACTCGGCTGGCCCCACAGCCTCTATTTGTACTGTATTTCTCCACCACCCCACCTCCCATCCTTGGATATGGTCCTGGGAATTAGCCACTAAGCCGAGAGCTTTGTTATCCTACCAAGGTTCCTGTCATCCAGTGGGAGAGCTGTGGTGCCAAACACCCTTCTCTTCAGCCCATGACCANTTCAGCATCCTAGCTGTGGAGGGCAGTGTCACTGGCCCTCATATGTGGGATCCGAACCGGGGCCCTCTGGCGTCCCAAGCCAGTTCCCAACCATCGCGCCACTTGGCCGGCCTTCCTAGGAAATGTTTTTATTTTTATTTTTTAAAGATTTTATTGGGGAATTGGGGGAGGGGAACAGTCAAGTTGTTGTCCTTCAATCTTAGCTGTGGAGGGCTCAGCAAGCTCAGCTCCAAGTCCAGTAGTGCTATTCAGCTCAAGGTGCTGAGTTCAGTCTTAGTTGTGGGTGGGCATAGCCACCATCCCATGTGGGAGTCTAACTGGCAGCTTTGTTGTTAAGAGCATGGGCTCTATCCTCTGAGCCACCTTGGTGGCAGCTCAGCTCAAGGGCCAATTTCAGTATTTAGTTGTGGGTGGGCATAGCCCACCATTCAAACCAGCAGCCTTGCTGTTAGCAACATGTGCTTTCACCGGCTGAGCCATCCTGCCACCTGTTGGCAGCTCAGCAACAGCTCAGCTCAGGGTACTGCGTCACTGGCCCATGTGAGAATTGAACCAGCGACCCTGTTGCTCAGAGTTCTCACTCTTGGGCAAGGTCTTAACCAATGAGCCACTCATCCAGCCCAGGAAATGTTTTATAGTATCAGATTCTTGGGCCCACTCAGCCCTATTGAAGTAGAAACTTGAAGAACTGGATCTCAGAAAACTCTAATTAAAAAAAAAAAAAAAAGGTGTTTTTTTTTTTTTTTTCAGTTGATTCTGATGACCGAAAGGTGCTGGGAATACAATTGTGAGCAAAATAAACATACCAGGTCGCTATATCTTTGCTGTTGTCTGTCTAGAATGTTCTTCCTTTCCTCTCTCAGACTTTCCCCGTGATAAGCTACTACTTTTCCTGTTGGACTGGGTACTGAAATTCAGCTGTTGGTAGAATCTAGGTCTTTTCTTGTGACACCCCCAGTGCTTTCAGGATTTGCCTTTGGATTAATGGATGTGCAAAACCTTTGTAGCTGTAGAATGCTAGTTAAATATGAATTACACTAACATAATATTTGAAAGAACCCAGGAAACCTCTTGTGCTAGCTGGAGAGAAAAATTTTGATATTTCGGAAAGCTTACCTGGCTCTTCCCTTGTAAAATTGAATGTTGCTAGTGCATTAGATCCTTTTATAGACCTATGCCTTTGATGAAGATTTTTTATTTCTATTGTTTCACTTGATCCTCCTAACAACCCTGCAAGGTAGGTAATATTATCACCCCCATAAGACAAAAAGGCTCAGAGAAGTTAGTAGGTAGTGTTCTCAGTCACAGAAGCCGGTAAACTCGAGTGCCAGGACTCCCACCTCCCATGGTCTGACTGTCCATCATACTAGCTTATGGCCTGCATGACAGCTCCTTCTCAGGGTGTGGCCTGTAATGGGTTTCCTTTGTTTTGTGCTTCAGGTCCAAAGACCAGGAATCGGAGTGATCTCCGTGAGCAAAGGTGCAGAGATCGGGCTGGCCATGGCCTGCTTCCTGAAGCAAGTGGTAGCCACTGTCTGCATCAATGGACCCAATGCCGTCTTTGAATTTCCCTTCAGGTACAAGGATCTGGTTATGACACCCATCCCGTCATTTCTGGAGCGCACGCAGATTGATGTTTCAGGGGCTGTGCGCCTCCGCCACTTCAGGGGAGACCCTCGGGATAAACGATATCAGCAGAGCGTATATCCTATTGAAAAGGCCCAGGGTCAGATCCTCTTCATTGTAGGAGAGAATGATGAAGTGATCAATAGCAGAGAATATGGTAAACAGGCCCTGGATCAGCTGCAGAGCCACGGGAGAAGCAATGGAAGGATGCTGGTGTACCCCGGGGCAGGCCACCTCATAGAGCCACCCTATGCGCCCCTGTGCTATGCTTCCCGGAACACCCACCACTATTCCACACCCCTGCTCTGGGGAGGAGATCCAGTGGCGCACGCAGCGGCCCAGGAGCACGCCTGGGGAGAGATCCAGAAATTCTTCAGGCAACACCTCGTTCAGACCAGCAGCAAACTCTGAGCAACAGCTTAGGGGGCGTGATGACGTAGGGAGATAAAAACAAGGATAAGGCAGGGATGTAGCGAGGAGAGGGGGCGCTTCTGATTTCTCTATTTTCAGCTATCCTGAATGAACTGGAAGGAAACGACAAATCAAAGGACCAAAGCATAGTTGCATTTCAACTGTTTCTGACCAATTTGTATGTATTTTGGATTTTTGTAAATTGAATCTTAGTTTATATGCATCAGGATACGTTGCTATTTCAGAATTACCATACCCTTGCAAACTGAATAACCTTTTGTACCCCAGTTAGGGATATTAACAAGCCAGGTATTGCCAATCTAGATAAATTCCCTGGAACTTCTAAGCTACCTGTGGAAATACGTTTTCCGTTTAAACTATTTTGAGTTGAGTTTCTGACACTTGATATGAAAAGTTCTAATGTCACCATCAAGTGTAATACTTGCTATAGATTGCCAGTAGATACTTTATTTTTTTTTAAACAGTGATGCTTCTTTTTCTTCCTAAAATATATATATTTTTTGCAGTTTTAATCAGGAGTGGGATTGAATTTAATCAAGTGCCTTTGTAGCATTTATTGAAATTAAATGAGTTAATATATTTAAAGCTCTTAGAATGGTATATCTAGATGAGTTAACTATTATGATTTTCCTAATGCTTTCCTCCTTCAATCTGTTAGTGGTGATTTACATTCACTAATGAACTGATTTTGCTTATTCATTTAATTTTAATAGATGAATTTCTCAACACCGACTAATTCAGATTTTATAATTTATTGTGGAGCCAACCTGGTCATTTATATTTTCTCAGAATTTCACCCATATTTTCTGGAACGAGTTTTTCTCTTGTAATTTTTCATGTTTATTTGCACGCTTTCTCTTTTTCTCTCAGTCTGACTTGCTGAATATTTGCCTATTTTATTGATCTTTTCCAAGAACAGCTTTTGGTTTGTTTGTAGGTCAAATCTATTTGTTCCCTGACTTACCAATTTCTGTTTCTTTAAAATAAATTCATTCCTTCTGCCATTTTTTTTTGTTTGTTTTTTTTTTGTAAGCTGAGCCATCCTGCCACCGTTTGCAGCTCAGTGGCAGCTCAGCTCTGGCCGTGAATCAAACCGGGGACCCTGTTGCTCAGAGCTCAAACTCTTGAGCGAGCTCTTAACCAACTGAGCCACTCGGCCGGCCCCTTCTGCCATTTTTGTGTTTATTTTTTTGGCTTTGTGAAATGCAGCATTCTCATTTTGTTAATTTCTAAATAGTTTCTAGTTTACTTTCTTCTCCCCTCTTAAACCAGAGTAATTTTACCAAAGCACAAAGTATCATCCTATAGGCAACTTGCTGGTTATGAAGAAGAGGGGGGAGGAACAATGTCACTTAGCAATGGAGGGGTCAGACTGTCACTATATAAACCCACTGATCAAAATGGTCAATTTAACATAATGTGCTTCATGATGAGATGTAATGTGGAGTGCCCAGCACTACTTAGAACTACTTCTAATAACAGTTAAACTTGAACCTAATCAAGCCTTTAGATCAAATGTCTTATTAATAGAGTGGCTGGAGAACAAGTTAAATGGCACTTACAAGGAGACAGTCAAACAAATCCAGAGCGTGGGTCATTCTATGATGTGGTCTCTGATCTTCACAAGTTAATTACCAACTGACCTGGTCTTGTTGGTAAGTTAGTTGCATGAAAAATTTGAAATTTTTTACTTTGTGGAATTTTCCCCCCCTATAGGAATGAGCTGGGGGACTTTTCAGAATTAAAAGAGACTTAAGAGACATATCAACCAAATGCTATGTGTGGGCCTGGTTTGAACAAAGTAACTGTACAAACACATTTTTGAGACAGTTAGTGAAGTGTGAGTATGGACTAGATATTAAATGATACTAAAAATTGTCATCTTGTTAGACATTATAATGGTATTGTGGTTATATAAAAAAGTCACTATTTAGAGATGCATACTGACATATCTAGCGGCAAAGGGTCACAATAGCTGGGAATTGTTTTAAAATACTACAAGAATGCGGGAAATGTGAACAATTATTACATCTAGATGATAGGTATAGTGAGTTTCATTTGTTTTGTCTACTTTTGTGTGCTTGCAATTTTTCATAATAAAAAGTTAAAAAAATAAGAGCTATAATCAATATATTTACTTCTCTGCCCCCAAAGATAAGAACTTTAGCATGTACTACATTTTCCCTCCATGACACTCCCCATTAATTTCAGATTACTGATTTTTTTTCACAATCAATAATTATTTATTTAACATGACTATGCTTTAATGATTTATTTGCTCCTGTTACTTACAACCTGTCTTTCTAATTCTTGGCTTTGTCATCCATTTGGCCATTTTTTCCAAAATAAAAACTCAAGCTATTATTTTAAAAGACGGATGGTCACCTGTCTATATTTTGCTCTCCCTCTTTAGTTGTAGTTTTTATACATACAGAATTTGATGTTAACAATTATTTTCCCTCAGCACTTTGTGGTCTTAATTTTGTTTTGGCGCCCACGGTTGCCAGTGGGAAGACTGATTCTTGTTCTTTGTGGAGCTGTTTTCCTCTTTCTTTGAAAGCGTTTTACAATTTTCTCTTTTTTCTTAGTGTTCTGAGATTCCATCATGATATGAGCAGGGGTGGGTTTATTATTACTATTTCGTTTTGCTTGGTACTCTCTGGGCCCGAACTGTATTACATGTTCATGTCCAAAGTAATCACAGGCATGGAGAATGAGGCTGCCGTAACAACTTTGACAATCTATTGTAGATTCACCTGTGGGCATAGAGATGGGCCAAGCATCCACTGAGAACATGTCCATTTGGTGGACAGTGAACAAAAATGAGATCCATTATTAGCAAGCGGTGTTGAGTTGCCAATCAGCACAGTCTGCCACACCTGCTTTTCCTATTTCCCCTAATTATTTTCATAACAAATGAAAAAAAAAGGGGGGGTGCTTTTCTGGTTTCTGACACATTTCACTTGTTTTCTGTAACCTGTGGAAAAAGATTACTCCTGAATTGACCTGTCCAGACATGTTGATTCTCCAAGCTGTCCTCTCCGTCCTGGTATCTTTTAGCTGATGGCAGAAGTCCCTCTAGTTTAAACCAATATGTAGAACACTTCTTATCTTATTATTTCTGTGTATATATGAGTCTCAGTGACTTTTACTCTATCATATCCCCTTTCTAGGGTGGTTAGACAGTCTACGTCAAAGATAACAGCTTATGTGCCTTTGAATACACAAATAATGTATAATGCTGGACTTGGCAATCTTTAAATCTTTCTTTAAGGGTTGCCACTCTACTGTTTCACTGTTATGTTTTAACCATGGCTGGGTATTTCTCTCCCATTCTTTGTATGTGCCCTTCACAGATTTCTACTGCTTCTGGCCGAAAGTTTCATGGGTTTCAAAATCTCTGTGTAGACTCTTGGTTGCCTAACCTACCTCCTTTCCAATAATACCCAATTGGATCCCTGTGCTTTGGCAATTCTAGACTTACTCCAGCCCCCATACGTGAGTGCTCATTGGTGTTGGCCAGTCACGGTGGTCATTTTTCCTTATCCAGCAATTAGTGTAGGCGTGGACCTGTAACAGCATTCTGGCCAATGAGATGTCAGAGACATTTGAAGAGAATGGAGATTGTCTGAAAGAGACATTTTGGAAATTTTGGGGGAAGATTTTCTTGTCTTAAAAAGCAAAGAGATGGTGGCTGCCCCCTTTGGGTGTTGTTTGTCTTAAGGCTGAGGATATATTGGGGCCATACGTGGACCTAGTCTGAGGACAAAACCAACACACAAGGTCTGAGCCAAATGAATTGCATAGCAGAGTAAGGGGCTCTAATTATGTTGTTTTCATAGTTGCTCAACCTTTGGGTTTCTTGTTATTCCCAATAAATGTCCTTACTTGTTTAGCTATTGACAGTGGGATTTTCTGTTATTTGTATTGAAGACTATCATGATCATGAACACTTCGCCTACCATGGCAGCCCATCTTGTTTTGTAGCTGGCCTGAGGCACTGTAGAAGGATAAATTGTACAATCTAATTTTTTAAAAGAAAATTGAGCAAGATGAATTAAAAATTATTAACCATCTTGAATTTATTTATTAGACTTAACATTTTTTAAGTTCACATAATATGCATAACCTGAGGATTATATATTGTAGATAGAGGTGACTGCATTACATTTTCTTTGTGATGATGGGATAGTGGGAAGAAGTGAAATCTCCTATGGCGAGTAGAGTTACTTCCTGATTGGAGATGAGCTGAAAATAAGCCACCTATTTTGCAGAAACACAGACACAAAAGTACTTATTGAGTATTTACTGTACACTAGAAACTTTGCTAAAATATTTCCATGAGTTACCTGATTTAATTCTCACATCAACTTTATGGAATACCTTCTCCAATCAATGCCCTCACTTTAACAGCGGGATGCCCTATGCGGCTGGGTGTTCAAATTGCATTGTAATTCAGCCAGTCACAAGATAAGATTCTGAGTCTGATTTTTAGCAATCAGCCCTGTGGCTCCAGGAGATAAGGATATCCTGCAACACACAGAAGCTTCAGATCACTTATGGGGCGCATAAGCTGGGAATTCAAATGATTGAGTTCATCCTTTTCTTTCTCTACTTTGTCCACTGACATTAGGAGCAAGAAACTAGCTGATTTCATTATATTCGTTAGTTTACCAGCCACTCTCAGTACCAAAATATGTATTAGTCAGAGTTCTCCAAAGAAACAGAACCAAGAGACGAGACAGAGAGAGAGAGAGAGAGAGAGAGAGAGAGAGAGAGAGAGAGAGAGAGAAATAGATTTATTATAAGGAATTAGCTCACATAATTATAGAGGCTGAGAAATCTCAAGATTTGCAATCGGCAAGCTGGAACCCAGGAGAGCTGATGGTGCGATTCTAGTATAAGTCTGAAGGCCTAAGAACCATGAAAGCCAACAGTGTAAGTTCCATTCTGAAAGCTGACAGGCCCAAGATTCAAGAAGAGCCAATGTTTTAATCTGAGTCTGAAGGCAGGAAAAGACCAGTGTTCTAGCTCAAACAGCCACGCAGGAGGAGTTCCTTCTTACTTCTTACAGCCTTTTTGTCCTATTCAGTTTCCGACTGGTTGGACGGGGCCCACCTTTCTCTCAGTGGGATAGAGAGGCTCATTAGGACATTTAGATTGGCTTTGAAAATATGCAGAGAAATGGGTTAATTAAAAAAATTTTTTTTTTATCCTGCTACCGTAAGTAAGAGGTTGTCACAAAGGAACTGGTTATCTCTGAGGAGCTCAGAGCCTGGTCTCAGTCCTGTAGGACTGAGAGGTCCAGACCTGGCATGTGGTGACTTCCATTCTGAGAATTCTGCCTTAGTGACCAGGTAGAATCAGACCACATCCTCCTTGCTTTGATATCCCTCTCCCTACCAGTTGCAGTAAAGTCATTATAAAAGTTATGGAAATATGGTGGAGGCGGTGGTGTTGTTAATGGTAATTCTCTCCTCAGTCACCAGAAAAAGCATTGTAGAGGATATGGCATTTGAACTGCATCTCACAGTCAAGTATTTTATTTTCTTTTGCTGTTCCTAGAACAAAGATGCTATGACAATAAGAAGGAATAAGTCTGATGTAGAGACACACTGCCAAAAATCCTAGAAGAACACATACCAGGGTCATGTGGTTTATCATTTAATATGGAAGTTTTTATGTTTTTAACAGAGTTAAACTCCAGCTTCCTGCCAATGAGGAGAAAGTTATGGCTGTAGCTCTGGTACATGTTCACCAAAATCAGTGGTTTAACTTGCAGTGGTAGATTAATGAAAACATATCCAGTGGGTCTTGGTGTGACTGACTTTACCAAATGTACAAAAATCTATATTTTTTTTCAAAAATCTATTTTTAAGGTGGTGAAAAAACTCAAAGTCCCTCTCATAGTGAGTTTATTCACAACTGGTGATTACTATTGAGTCCATCAGCCCTAGATGTGAACTTCATCAAGACCCTGAACCAGAGAAAGCCTCCCCAGACGACAGGCAGCTGGAGTGAAGGGGCACCTGCCAATCTTCACACTTACCTCTGGGGCTGCTGAAGAACAGGACAGAAAAAATGCTCAAATGAGGAAATACCTGACTACGTGGTTCCTACCAAGGCAAAAGCTCTGTTGGCTACAAAGAGGGATAATGAGAAAGATAGAAATATTTTGTACAGAATTATGTACGATGCATCTATCTGACCCTAGTGAGCCTGGATTTACTCAATTCTGAAAAACTGCAGAACATCACTTGAAATTGAAAAAAAAAATTGCTTTACAGGATGATTCAATGGAGATAAGACTTTATGTAACATGTTGATGTAAGAAACCTCCAAATCTGTGAAGAATTTTTATGAGTATATTTAAGCCAAACTGATGACATATGCCAGGGAGCAAGATCTCAAATGCTCCAGAGAATAATAGCTCACATGTTCATAACTGCTGAGTGCAGTTTCCTCACCCTTATTATTCCTGTATCTAAATATACTGATCTTTCAGCTATCTTTAAGTCCCCATTCAAATTCTCTTTATTTTCAACTGAGTCAAGTCTCCTTTCACCAAATTAGGAGAATTTCTAGAATCCACCTATTTGACACACTTGAACAGTTTGCTCTGTGTCAGGCCCTGTTTTGAATCAAAGAAATGAAAGATGTCACAGATATCCTCAGGGGCTAATAGTCTCATGAGGTTGCTTATGTCAACACACTGTATTAGTCTTTCTTTTGTTTCTTTCCACTTCCCTCTCACAGAGTTAGACTTCTCAGCCTACTCTGGGCTTTCCTTAAAAAGAGGAAGAAAAGCTCATGGCAGAATTTATTCTTTCTGAGGATAAGTGACCACTTGTTCTATGTAGACAGAGGGCTTTGTCCTGGCTAGAAGGCCCATGAGGAGGAGTCCCTGGCCCTAAGACATGAATCTCAAGTGGCAGGCTTGAAAGATCAATGTGAGGCTCGTGAAGTGGCTTGTGGCTAATTAGGGGCAACACTAAGGTTGCCATGGTATAATGGAAGGACTCAGACTGTCTCACGGATCCTAGGGATGTCAGTCCAGAGATGCCCCCTTAGTTCCAGGTGCCCCAGTGTTTTGTCCTGTGGAGCATGACTCAGTCACGTACCAATACCCACCAAGGCCAGGAAATTGGGTTCTATGGCTAGAGATCTTGGAACTTCCAATGGGTGCATCCAGATCAAAACCAGAGGGAAGAATAGAAGGAAAACACTCATGTTATCAACCTGACTTAAGCTCTTGGAAATACCATCTGGTAGTCAGATATTTAAATTGTGACAAGAAATGGGTAATGTAAAATCAATACAGCTTGTTAGCCTTTCCCAGAGTGTCTTATTATGAATAATGACATAGAATTCAGCTATCAGTGCTGTTATCAAAAAATCCTAAAATGTGTTTAGAAAGTGAATCACTCTGAAATTGGACAGCATTGCGCTTAGGTAGCTTATACAAGATTGGAGAGGCCAGCATTTGCAAATTATTTCTTCTCATAAGCAGAACGCATCCTTCTCATGATGAGCTTTTTTCACCTACACCACCCCTGAACCATCTAAGTAGGTACATCACATTGAAAAGCCTTTGAAATGATGTGGACTTGGTTCAAAGGCATCTTGGTATATTGGAAAGAGTGAAATCTGGAGTCAGGTAGACCTAGATTCTAATTTTGGTGCTGACATGTACAGCTTCGATTAGGATTTATCCCAGCAGGCGTGGAACTGAAAAGTATAAATATTTATTGAGTCCCTTCATTGTGACTCTTCGAATACTTTTACCCGGTGAATAAAGCTTAAAACAAAGGACATGAGCCAGAATAAATTTTTGTGATAACTTTTTTCCTTCTCTTTAGAAAAAAAATATGTACAAAAAAAGGTAAGAAGAGTCAACATGGAAGTGTCAAGAAAACATTCGAATAGGTACAGACAAGGGAGATCCTCTTGAAAAGGCGTTACACGTCAGTTATTACCATGCTAGAAAAATGAGATGCAGTGAAAATTCTAGAACAATTAAAAGCCTCAAAGTCAGGCTGTTGCTCTGGGCTCTGGGTTGTAGATGCTCTGAGACCCTTTCTGTAAAATAATACTGTGCAAACTGTAAAATAGTCATTTTCATATAAAGTCCATACAATATGATATACAAAACTGTTGAGTTGACATGGGAGGCTCATGCTGGCTGCTTTTTGGAAAGAAGTATGCAGTGTCACCATAATTCCAGGAAGATCTTAGAGTTTCTTAGATGGGAGAGAGCATTATCTAAAAAAGAATCATAATGTCCCCAATACTCCTCAAATCCAGAATCTTCTGCCAATTGTTTATGTAACTTGGTGACCTCATTAATGTATTACTTTAACTTAGAATGCAATAACATGTTAAGAGATCAGAACACAAAGTTCTTTTTGAAAGTATTATTTCTTTCTGTACAATTGATTTTGAGATTTACCATTAACCAACATCGTCCTCTCTGCAACTCAAAAGTTAACTTTCATTAATATTCAAAAATTCTGGAGGAGGCAGCAACTGTGGTAAGAAAAGGTTAAAGTGAATTGTTTTTTAATTTTATTTCCGTGTCTATAAAACTGAGAAAAGAAGATTTGTGTACAAATATCACAAAACAACATCAATCATTGAATAAATGTGGTTTTTCGATGCACACTTGAACAAGAAGAAAGTTTTGTTGGTTTAAAATTCTCGCATAAATATATTAAAGCTGAACAAAAAAAAAATCAGGGCAAGCTACATCACTTCCTCATACAAAAAATGTACAAAACATCAGCCTCTAACTAGATAAACATAATACTTGTCTTCACAGTTTGACATCGAGTAACTGTGTGTCTTGAAGTATCGAATTGGAGGGTGATAAAAAAAAACAGCTTGTGACACATCAGCCATCTCAGGTAACTTCGGTCATGGAGGCAGAGTGATTCTGCAAACATAAGCAGATAAAATCTTAGAGTTGGGTGGATTGACTTATGCACACGCTCACTTTTTATTGAATATCCTTTGCTTTCTTGTCTCCTCCAGTCTGCTCAGGTTGTTCCCTCTTTCTGATATGCTCTTCCAAAGCCCCTCAAATTGTTACCTCTTCTGTTAAATCTTCCCTGATTTTTCAGTCTAAATCAGATTATTTTTTCATCTAAATTTGTTCTCTATATAATTCTGTCTTATATTTACTCAACTCTATTCTAATACAAACATTTAGGATCTCAAAGTAACTTTAGCTGTATCCTACATCTTTTTTTTTTTTAAAGATTTTTTTATTGGGGTATGGGGGGAAGGGAACAGTGTTGGGGAATTGGGGGAAGGGGAACAGACAAATTGCTGTCGTTTTGTTCTTCAGTCTAGTTGTGGAGGGCGTTGCTTCACTGGCCCAAGTTGGCACCATCATTGCGCTCTTCCCGGGGGAGGCAGATCAGTCACCGGCTTCTGGACTGCTGCTCAGGGCGGCTGCTGGCCGCCCACGCTGGCTGCTGGCCGCCTACGCTGGCTGCTGGCCGCCCACGCTGGCTGCTGGCTACATACGGTAGCCCATGGCAACCCACTGCCACAGGGGCTGCAGCCTACGCCATCGCCGGCAACTCACTGCAGCCCAGCTCCAGGTTGAGCTGTTGTTCAGCATCTTAGCTGTAGAGGGCAGTGTCACTGGCCCTCATATGTGGGATCCGAACTGGGGCCCTCTGGCGTCCCAAGCCAGTTCTTAACCATTGCGCCACTCGGCCGGCCCTATCCAACATCTTCTTAAAGGTGATTTTAATATTGAACAGTTCTAATTTTTGAAAAAATTCCATATGATTTACTCTTTGAGTCATGAGTCACATAAAGTGAGTTTAATATTTTCAAATGTATTTTTTTTTAGGTATCTTTAAATTTTTTTTCTAGAGAATTTTCTAGAGAAAATTTTTTTCTAGAGAAAATTTTCTAGAGAAAATTTTTTTCTAGAGAAATTTTTTTCTAGATTATTTAAAATTTCTTGAGACTTGCTTTATAGTCATGTACATGTCTATTTTCATAATGTTTCATGTGTTTTGAGAAGGCATATATATAATGCACATTAGATCAACCTTATTAATCATCTAACATCTTGACTATATTTTGTTTGTTAATTACTGAGAGAAATGTGTTAAAATCTCATACTATGATTGCAACTTTGTCCATTTTTCCTTGTAATTCTATCAATTTTTGTTTATATGGCTTTTTAATATAACCTCTATCTCTTTTGTTTACATAACTTATATATACAGTTGACCCTTGAACAACATGGGTTTGAACTGTGTGGGTCTGTGTACTTATGGGCAGATTACTTCCAATAAATACTGTAAGTGTATTTTCTCTTCCTTTATAATTTTCTTAATAACATTTTCTTTTTTCTAGCTTATGTTATTGTAAATACAGTATATAATACATATAACATATAAAATATGTGTTAATTGGCTGTATGTTATTGGTAAGGCTTCTGGTCAACAGTGGCTATTAGTTAAGGTTTTCGGGAGTCAAAATTATATGTGGATTTTCAACTGCATGTGGGGGTCAGCTCCCCAACACCCATGTTGTTCAAGGTCCAACTGTATAACCCCACCTTTTGCGGGCCAAGACTTTCTTTCGTTTGAATTTAAAACCCCTAGTCCATGGAATTGACAAATACCTTAAGGAACTGGCTATAGATCTAATTAATGATTACAGTTTTCCTGATTCCTATTTGTTTTTAGGACACTAGAGATTTACATTATATTCCTGAGAGATCAACTATGCATTTTAGAAACTGAGTATTTTATATTTTTCAAGATACTTTTATCTGCCATATTTGTGAGCACTAAGGTTTGATGCATTTCTTGCCATAACTTGAAAAATAATGTCTCCTTTTATGGTTTTACTTTTATGATTTCTTTTTGAAAATTGTTTTTGGCCATTTATATGTTTATAAATTTCATTTATGAGTAAGAGATAAACAAAAGTAATTCAACATCCTCAGCTAACTAAATGGGTGACTTTGGGGAGATTTCTTTAACTCTTTAAGGCTGTTTTTTCTACTTATAATATGAAGTCTATGATATCACTAGTTTCTCACAAAGGGGGCCCTATTCCTCTGGGAATATTTTCTTAAATATGACTTTTTTCACCCCAGAATTGCTGAATCAGAATCTCCTGGAGTAAAGTCTCAGGCATCTGGGTCTTAGCATAGATGGGATTCCTTTTTTGTGTGTGTATTAAAGAAAAAAGATGTCTTGTTTCCCCCTGCCTGGAGAACCAGGGAGACTTTTTAATCGCACCAAGAGTGAGTTAACAGAATTGTTTCATGTCTAATTTCTTTGTTAATCTAAACTGTGCTCGACAAGGACACACATTGCTCAACGCTCCGCAATCCTGATTGCTCAGGTGAACGTGGACGTGGAGATGCATTATGTGGCTGGGTGGAAGCTGGTGTCTTTAGGATCACAGAAACTTGGTGCCATCCTAAAAAGGAGCCTCTGTGAGGTGACAATAACTCTATAGGACCACAGCATAATGCTTTGGAAATCTGACCATTTTTGTTTTGTTTGCATCCTATAATTATTTACTCTTTGGTTTCTCTTTAGTACTTGGGGAAGATTTTAGAAAAATGCACCGTGTTTCAATCAGCCTGACTAAGGGGAATCACAGAAGGCAAATATGCAAATTTCGGTTGATGTTTTAGAGAGGAAAAAGAATACTGTAGTTCTGGGGGTTCCATGTGGCAAAGGGGAAAGAAGTTCTGGGGGTGGGGTGGGGAAGGGATGGGAGGTGACTTGTACCCGCCCCATCCAGTCTTCTTCTTGAGGTATTATGAACAGCGGGGTGCATTTCATGTATGTGAATGTGTGCTCTGAAGAGGGGTTCACCGCTTCTCTCAGATCCCCAAAGGTCCTCTTCTTGAGTAGATGGTCCTATCCCAGAAATGACAAAGGAGCAGCTTCTGATAGAAACCACTGCTGATGGAGTTGCACAGAGAGCTCTTGGCCACAGGGGAAAACACAGGGCATATTTATTTTGGAAGCACTGTAGCTCAGTTCAAATTCACCAGTCTGTGCAGCTCAATTCAAACACACTATCCCCTATGGCATGTTCCTAATATTCAGTGCTGAGAGTTGCAGATTTCAAAATGGAATTTCCCTTGAATGAAACGTCAAGTCATGTAATATAGCAAGCAGGGCCTTCAGAAATAGATGGGCCTGTGTTTTCATTTGGACTGGGTGACCCTGGGCATGTGCCTCAAACTCTTTGTGACTTATTTCATGTATAAAATACAATAATATAAAATAGAAGAATAACGCCAATTGCAGAATTATTGTGAGACTGAATGTGATAGCTGGCAATAAATGCTAATTTACATTTCTTGACCAATGAATAAAGGGTATATTCTCCTAACCACGTGGAGACATCTGACATTAAAAGCAGGTGCTTGGTTACTTGAATCCTCCACGACTGGTATGGAAGACATCGCTTGAGAGGTAACAGTTTCCACCCAGGTTCCTGTAGCTTCATTTTGACTAGCCTGCAGAAACCCTGTTATTGTTTGTCATAAATTTCTAATTTACATGGAAGTTCAGATAGTGACTGTGGTCTGATTTTAGGTTCTTGGTTTTGACTCAAGTTCAGATGTTGGTTCTGGCTTGCATCTGTCTATTCATCAAACATTTATTTCACACCTAGCGAGTGCTAGGAAATATGGAAAGTAAGTAACATGTGGTTCAGATCCTCAAAGGTCTCTAAGTCCTTGTGGGAGGCAGACATGAGGGGGCGCTATTGGCATTAATTGTGAGGGGCAATCACATGAGGGGCCCTGGGATCCTTTGGCCCAAGTTTGGTATTCAGGAAAGGCCTCAAATTATATCTGGATGAGGTGAGCTATATGGATACAAAGACATATGAACAGATTTAAAAGAAGTTCCACTACCGCCTGTAGTGAACAATAAATATATATATATTTAAATAGAAATTTTCATCTGTCTTGTGAATTGCAGTTTTTGAAACCCTGTTTGGCGCTTCATTTTTCAACGTAAGTGGAACCCCTCATAATATGGCCTGGATGTCTCTTGGCCTGGTCAACTATTCATGGTTCTGAGGGAGAAGAGAGAAGGAAATCTGGAGAAGGCTTCAGACAGAGGATAATGCTTGAGCAGCGCTGGGCAGAAGGACGGGGTGGAAAGCGGGGTGTCCTAAGATCAGGATGTTCGGGGTGATGTAAACAGCATTTACAAGGACATAGAGGCTGACATGTTTGTGGAACTCAGTAAATATTTCTTTGCTTTTAAAATTGACCTTTGCCTTCAGCTGGTTCACCTCAAAAATAGAGGGAACTACTCTGACCTCACCAGGTACAGAAACATAGATAAGAAAAACTTGGGAGAGTCTATTTTACATTTCATTACAAGATATCATTATTTAGCTAATTTGCCATTTCACTTGCATCAATGGGCGAATATAAATAAACCAATAATACATTTTTCAATACATTATTCTGAATTAGACCAAGTCAAAAATTTCACCTTAATACAGGTTAAGGTAAAATAAATAAACAAAATACTTAGCACTGGATTTAATGGAGCGTCCTGAATATTTTTCCCAACATGGAAATAGCTTTATTAGTTTTTTTTTTCCCGGTTTATTGACAAAATTAAAGAGACTTCATTGAATGTGAAAAGAAATAGGATAGTTGTCTTAGAGAGATGTCTGATAGTTAATAATCTTTAAATAGTGAAAAATATTATTTTTGTACTATACTGATATGAAGCACATGCTAATTCCAGTGGGAGGTGATTTGCTTTTCTCTTGCACAATCTATAAAAATGGTTTAGTAAGGAAATGCTAAATACAAACAAGCTTTCAAGATAAATAGACTGTTATGGAAAATAAACATTTTAGCAGGGCTTGGCTACCTGAGAAAAGTGGCATGATAATAAAAACTCTGTTTTATTATTAGTCATTCCCTGTCTGCTTAAAGGACCCTCATTCAAGTCTTTGACATGTTAGCTATGTGGCCTTGAGCAAGTAATTTAACATCGCCATCTTCAGTATTCCTATGTTTATCCTGGAAATGGGAATTACACTATCAATTCAATAGGTTTTTGTTCAAATAATACTACATTTGTAAAGCACCTAGCAACTGTCCCAGGGAAAAGTAAGTGCATAATGTCATCTTTCGGGGTTCCTTTCAGCTGGCAAGCCTTCTCCATGGCTTCCCCTGTCTTCTCAAACAATAGGTGTGTGTTTTTCTTCCTTTGTATTCACACAGCACTTTTTGAACCTCTGATTTGGCATGCCATATTATGATTACACATTTATATCTATCTTTCCAATCATCTGTGAGTTCTTTGAAGACAAGGATAGTGTGGCTAATTATTTTCTGTATCCCTGGCATGAACCAAGGTTCTGGTGTCAATAAGTGATCAGCAAGTATTGTTTGCATTGAAATTTTGATGGTTGTCATCAAAATAGATCCAAAAGGACGCTTAGTTAATAATCTTTTTAATGTGCTTCTAGTTTACATCTGTCACTGAATGTAATAGATCCTTTTTCTTTCCAGTATTATTGTCCTAGTTAGTAAATCAAATTGGCCTCCCACATGATTGGTCCAAATTTATAACTGGAGATCAAGATATCCTGACGCAGCTGAGGTTTCAGTTAGACATTACTAAGAACTTCCTGAGGATTCATGATTGCTAAGCCCCAGAATAAATATAGGACTAATTGAAGAAGCTGTGAAGTTCTTCATATCAGATTTTTATAGGTGCTGGGCAGATCCAGTGGTGTCCTGCTTCCAGGAAAAGAATGGATTAGTTAACCTCTCAAGATAACAGGCCTGAATCTGTGGGTTTGGTTTGCTAAAATCACTTTACTATACCTGTGCACTTAAGGTTTCCAGAGGGCTTTCTATCCTTGGGAAAGCCATTAGGGGGACTCCATGGGGATCCTCGGGTTTGGGTTTGGAAGGAGATCCTTGCGTTCCTTTAAAGTTATGGACTACACACATTCCCTGCAGGATGAGGGGGAAAAAAGATTGGGTCAGACTACAGCCATCAATGCCTGGCCATCTCTGAGAGTGGCAGGCCTTTCCCCTAGAATATCATTGACATACTGACTTTTTTCCTTTGAGCCATTGGGTAGGGACCATGGAAAGACCTGGGGTATGGTCCAGGGTGTCTGCTGAGCACATTCTAGGTGCGGAGGAAGCATTTGTTTGATCCCCAGATGGCCAGTCATAATCAATCCATCCCATTGAGCCAGTTTCCTCACCTGTAAAATGAGAATAATATACCTACCTCATAGATCTATAATGATTAAAAGGCATGATGATTGTAAACCACCTTACAATGAACAGCTAACACTTACTGAGGGACACCTGTGTCTGGCACTGTCCTGAGGATTTTACCTGATTTCATTTGGCCTTCTCAACAATCTTACAAAAAAAGGTACTATTGTCATCTTCAACTTAGATGAGGAGCCACGGAGAAACTAGATAACTTGCCCAAGGCCACACGGAGATTTAAACTCCATAGCTCACACAGCTATACTATTTTGCCTCTTAACTAGTGCCAAATATATAGCAAATACTCATTCAATGTTAGCTAGTCTTTAATTCCTGTGTAAGATGATCATCCTTAAATTATGTGAGTAGTATTTACTTAAGGTTAAATAACTCATTAGTGACACTTCTCTTTTATTGCTTCCATTACAAAAACAAACAAACAAATGAAAAAACAAAACCAGGACAAACAAACAAAACAACTGTCCTCTAAATTACTACCCATTTTTTCTTTATTTTCTACTGAGGCCCCTTCATAACTGAGTCTGTTTTTACCATCTGCTCTGCTTCTTTTGCTCATGTACGGTTTGTCTGTATCGTTCCATGATCTCCCTTCCATTGTTCTGTATCTTTTTTCTACATCCAGTGCCTTTGAACCTTTTCTGTAATTCTTCAGGCCCTGCAGAACATTTACATAACTATTCTCTACCTGGTTTTCCTTCACCTCACTCTCCCGCTCTGGTTAAACTTCCTCCACTCAGGCAATGGGAGAAGTGGAAGGTATGGGAGCTCTGGAGTTGAAGAGACTCCGGTTAGATTTGTGGCTTATTGGTTGGGTGGCCATTGTGCAAGTTATTTATCTTTAAGCCTCACTTTCCTCATCTATGAAATGAAGATAAGAATATTTTTAGGGTCATCCTAGGAGCATGTGATTTGGTGTGTATGTAAAGTGTAGGGTCTGTAGTAATTGTTCAACTAATCTCTCCCCTTCCCCCACTTTCATCTTCATAGGAAACACAAAAGAATAGTAAACATACACCACAAGTATGTACATATTCTCAGACCCTCCTCCCTTTTTCTCTCTGTAATCTTTCCAAGTCTCTGCTTTGAAATGCTTTTAGCCTTTTCTACAGCATCCTTCCCCTCCCGTTTCCCAGCTTAGTGTGAGTGTATGTGAGGTGTGTACATGTGCACATGCAGACACAGTGGGAGACAGTGTGGTCTGTCTCCTGCCAGAGCAACTCAAAAGCAGGTCTGGGTCTTACATAAAGATCATTTGTAGAAAACAAATTTTGACATTTATCATCAATTGGGAAGGCAATACAGACCAAATAGTAACTGAGTGATAGGAAACAACACTATGAGTTACTGAGAGAAAACAAGTTTAGTGTTAAAGCACAACTGGTATATGGGGTCTTAGAAAACACAAAGGATTTTACAGATTTCATCCTGTAAAGACTCCATTACATTTCTTGGGACAGTCAACACTGCTCTTTCTCTCTGGGGAATGGCTGGCTCCAGGTCTGAGGGACAGCAAAATTGTTTGGCTTTCCTTTGGAGTCTAAATCTTCATTTATGTACCATTGATCTCCCTTTGAAAACCCTCTCTTTTCTTTAAGTCACTCTTATTCTTTCTTTCTTTGAAAAAGCACTTTTAGGGAAATATTCCCTACTGAGAAGTCAGCATCTCAGGATCATCTCAGCACCACTTTTCCTGCGGCTTCACCTGGAGAATTTGCATTTAAGTTCTTTGTCTTTCGCTATAGAAAGGAAGCCTGGGTCCATTCAAAATAATTTTGAATTAGAATGGAGCTTCCCAGTAAGAGTTCTGAATAAGTGTGAGCATTTTCTGTGTGACTCTTGGCAGGTAATAACATTGGGAAACTCTGAGTTGGCAGTTGGGAGAGGTATGTGTACATTTTGTATCCTGGGGAGGGCAAGGAGGAGGGATAAGACAAGGCAGAGTTAGGTCAGAGGGATGTGAAATTCATCTAGTATGTGAAATGCCTGTCTGGATGAGAGCTTTAGGCCAGGAAGGGAAGAATGGGAGAAGGGACATCAGACTGTGATGGCTTCTGTCTCAGAGAGGAAGCTTGCTGAATATTATTAGGGGATGCATTTCATGTATAACATGTGACTCTCCAGGCCTGGCGACTTACTGTAAATCCTTTGGGGCCTATTTTAAATCTTTGAGGGTGATAAAAAACCTACACCTTTATGGTATGTCCATGAAACACACAGCAAGAAAATGGAATGAATTGTTGCTACGTGCTATAACAAGAATGAATCCCAAAGTTACTATGCTCAATGAAAGATGCCGTAAAAAAAGGATGCTCTATGATTCCATTTATATGAAATCCTAGGAAAGGAAAACTAATGTAGAGTGATGGAAAGGTCATAGGTTGCTTGGAATAAGGGGAAGGGAAGGGTGGGAGGAAAGGATATATCTGTACGTCAAAACTGATCAAATTGTACATCTCATCTACCAGTTACTATATACCTATCATACCTCAATAAAAATTAAAAAAATAAAAAGACAGAAACCAATAAAAATCCATCTCTTCTCTTCCAATCCAACTCAGAGGAAGGGATTTCCTAGTGGAGCAGGTTGCCAGGCCCCCATCTATTTGAGAAGCTAAAATATCATCAGAAATGTAAAGCTATGGAGAAAACTGTATTAATCAAAACTAATCTCCAGGAATATTATTATGTATGGTTGAGAATCTACTTGTGGCTGAAATAAGATGCCTGAGAGGCATGTTCAGGTAATAACAGAGGCCTAAAAAGTCTGGATGTCGTTAGCTGAGGGTTTTCATATTTCTGAGTAGGATATGCAAGTCTAGGTCAGAGCTGATGCTGGAGAAAGGGCTGCCTGCTTCCACCAATAGTCTTTTTCCTCTGTTCTTTCCTCAAGCAACTTAGCTTCCGCTCCCAATACATTCTGAACACATATTTTAGCAATGGTTTGAAGGTATGCCAAATTACTAGTCGGCCCAGGCTCAGTCCCAAGCACAGTGCTGAAGGAAGTGGAGCAAGCCATTCTTCCTGGGAATTCCTCTCCCTGATCCCCAGAGGGAACATGCAATCATATTTCTGAAAGAAAGGGTGCTTTAGAAATCATTCTTGCAGCAAAAGGATGCATAATACTTGGAGAATAATTGCAGCTCCAAAGGTTGGGGCCAGAGGAACCTGGGCTTAGACTGTGAAGCCTGGGAAACCTGACTCACCATGGTCGTGGACAGCCTTTCAGAGGGCACAGGATGGAAGAAGGCAGAAAGGGAAGCTAACCTACCAGAAACAGGGCTACCGCAGTGCCCAGGATGAAGCCCGCGATCACGTCGGAGCAGTGGTTCCGATACTCAGAGACCCGGTTGAGGCCCGTCAGGAAGGCCGTGCAGAGGGTCCCGAGACACAGCACTGGCTTGGCCAGTCGACTGCTCTTCGTCTTGATTGTGCTTGTGATGTACATCTGGAATAGGACAGAGACTGGGGAGTGACTGGACCTCCTCATATAGTGCACACACACTCATGCTCACACACACACCGGCTCACACACACCGGGGCTGTGCCCAAGCAACCACATCAACTCGTTGAACAAGTCCCTTGAGCTACTCAGTGAAGAATTTGGGGACGAAACGAGCACAGCAAGGACGATGAAGAGGCATACATTAATCATGGTGTTTCATATTCTCGTGGGCACGGGAGCAGGAATTATAGTGACATGAAAAGTGATTAGATTTAGAACATGTAGTTTTTTAATGCAACAAATTAAAGAATCATTTGGGGTATTAGGAAATCCATATAAGTTTCTCAGATACCAAATAAACTTTCTATGAGGTAGGTGAGCGGCTGCCCGTTTTACTTTTTGTGTCTCCCATAGTTCAAACTGGCTCTTATACTTTCGAACAATGAATACAAAAGCGTTGGCTGATTAGCTAATTGACTGAATTAGAACTTCCAAACCAGTGTGTTACACAAATAGATTTCAGTTGTGCTGGGAAACTGATTCCCACATTTCTTGAGACAACTGTAATTAGCTCTATCCATTGATTTATTCCAGTGTGTTTTAAAATATTAAATTTTAAAAATATGTGCCATGATGTATGAAAGCTTGGGAAGACATGACTTAAGAACGATTAAACTTATGACACCTGAAATTTATGAAGCTTAAGTTTACGTAGGTTGTTCTTATTTCATTGTGTGGAGCTGGGTAAGACTCGTAAGTTTCATAGGCTCAGTTATCAAACGTGTCCATGGTAGCGCGGAGTTTGGAAGATGTGCCTTTTTCAAATAAGTAAACACTTTGTTAGATCACCTTTGGTAATGGTTACAAGAAACCAGTAGAGGGCAGTACTGATCCATCGTTTCTTTAACAAATGTGATAACAAGAGTTTGCAACCCTGAAAAATAGTATGTAGATACTTAAATTATCGTCTATAGTGTGTTTGTGTGGCCTGAGCACATACAAATTCAAATAGATGTATTTTACAACATTATAATGAAACCTGTTAATTTCCTAGATTGATGCTTCCACACTGGTGTGAATAAAGGATGATGGGATTCTTTTTATTATATGTAGCAAATGTTCTACAAAGCTATGGTTAGATCAGAGTTACATAAATTAGAACATATTATTATACCATTCTGAGTCTGTGAAAGAAATGTAACATTTATACTAGGCATATTTATTTACTTCTATGTTGTTTTTAATTATAACCTTTATTAATCTTTCCTAGAAGATTACAAACTATTAAGAGCATGAGGCCTATAGATAGTTAATATTCTTCACAGTATTAACTAGTAGTTAGGAAATCTTTGTTGAGTAATTTCTGAAAGCACTTCATGTATAACAGGGGCTCAGAAATGTTTGCCCAATTGGAATCTTGTATCAGGGTTTTAATCTGATGATTGTCTGTGTGTGGGGCATGATTTGATTTGAATCAGAACATATCTGAATCCTTGAAAACACGTTCCATAGCTGTATCTATTCTGAATAAGCTGACTATACTTCATTCTCCTCCAAAGAAATTTATATCTCACTTGATGAGAGTAATTCATTATGAGTAACAGATTTAATTTTATAATGGTGTTGTAAAATTAATTTCACACAGCAATGAGGAGTCTGGTCAAAATGTGGAAAAAGGTGCAAGAGTACATTGCTTCATATAACTTATGTTAGAGATAATTTAGGGCAAATCAATATTTTGAAAATTAAAAAAATATGCTGAGTGCCTGAGAGGGCTTTCTTTGCTAAAAATATAACTGGCATAGATTTTTTTTTTTAATAAAGTGAAGAAGTCTCACCAAGCTACAAGTGATCTGTTAAGTAAGTTGAAGCTTCTGTATTATTTATGTTCCAGTTTCCTTAATATGAGGGCAGCTGAAATAACTTTTATCATGTATTCATTAAAGAGCAGATCTAAAAGGAACCACTAGGAAGACTTATTTTGGATAATTGGTGGTTGACAAATTGATCCTGTGGATGTGATCCTGTAATGGGACACAAAGGAACTTTTGTTTTAAAGAGAATATTCAGCCATTTATTTTAAACTCTATGAAAGAGACCAGAGTGGTAGTTGGTCACTTTTTTTTCACCCTGGATGTGCGTATTCTGGGCGATGGCACAGACACTCTTCCACCAGAAGCCGCCTCTCAGTGGAGGGAATGGGAACATGCCTCTGGGGGCGGGTGTGTGTGTGTGTGTGTGTGTGTGTGTGTGTGTGTGTGTGTGTGCGCGCGTGTGCGCGCACGCTCAGAATCTCTGGGAAGAATGGGTCTTTTGAAAGGGGTCTTTTCTCTGTCTTCCTTCCTCACCTTTCATTGAGAATCACTAGACTAGTTATATCCTGAATATAAAATAAGTTGAAGTAAGGAAAAGGGGTGGTTTTGAGCAGCAGTCGCTCTCCCAGAGGTAACTGCATATGATATCTAGCATTTGAGCTAATCCCTAGCTCTCAGTTCTGTGGAAGCACACGCCAGAGAAAGGTGAGATGAGGTCATTTCCCAAATGGATGCAACTAAGGAGTAGAAAAATAAGAGGGACATCATTTTTTCTTCTTGAATTTTAAGATGTGTGATGCACATCTTAAGGTTTTCTCCATGATGAAAGCAAACAATTTAAAGAGACTGTTATACCTCAGTGGGGGCAGTCAAAGCCTGTGTGATCTGGGGAGCAACGAGAAGTGAAGTTTTGGGTGTTGGGGGTCTGGTAGGATCACGCATCTGTCCTGGCAAAGTGATGGAGAAGAGTGTCAGGAGGAGCAGAGGAAAGCTTTGTCTGTGTCCTGGGTCTGCTGCACTGCCGGGGCAGCCATTCATGTCAGGCCCACACCTGCAAATGTGTAGGCAGGTGTGAGAAATGTGTGCTGTTCTGGAACCAACCAAAGCTTTGGCAGAGTGTTGTTGTGGGCAGCGAGAGAATCCCAGACCTGGTACCAGGAGTCTGAGTACCAGCTCTAACTGTGTGTTCTTAGCTATCCTGTGGGCCTCAGTTTTTGCATCGGATAAGTGGGGAGATTTGACTAAGTAATTATCAACATTCTTTCCAGAGCTAATGTCTTCTGGCAGGTCAGGGTATTAAATTGGGTTGTTGGGGGTGAGGGAACAGCACGATATTATAGAGGAGAACCATGTTGTAACATGACTCTAAATATCACGATAAGCAGCAGTGATGAAAGGATGGGGGTGAGGAGGGCAGAGGGATGCACATTCCAGCCAAAACTCCACTTGGGGGTGCTGGCAAGGCTTGCATACTCACCGTGGCGTATAAGGCGGAGTAAATGCTGAGGGCAGCGTGTTTGGAGGGAAAAGACCTCCGAGCCTTTTCTATCACGTCCAGGTCCCCGGTACAAATGTTCCCATTGTTTATGAACTGGTGGTGGGCTCGGCAGTCTGTGCTGGTGTAGTTCGGTTTGCACACCGTCAAGAAGTACGGCGTTAGGTGCCCAGTGACCACTTGTCCAGCGTTTACAAAAATGTCAGTAGCAAAAAGTCCAAACGCAAATACCCCTATAAGGAGATTTAAAATAATTAGGAATGGTGACATACACCGTTGATAGGTTTTGTCTCTGAGAGGAAACAGCAGTGAGCGTCCATGATGATCTATCTATCAAACAGGTCCTCCCCAGTGTCAAACTGTCCCCTCATGTTTATCTTTCCAGGGAGTGGTATCTGCCTCCCCAATCACTATTTCTTCCAAATTGGTGCAGGCGTTCTGCTGTTAGCATTGTATTGTTTTGTATAAGTAAATTAGAAGCAGCATGTTTAAATGGAAAGAACTTGACGTTGGAGTCGTACAGGTATGGACTCCAGTTCCACCTTTGGTGACTCATTCACAGAATAAGTTATTTACCTTCTATGAACCTTGGTGCCCTCAGTCACAAAATGGTTGGAGGGAGCGTTACCTCTAAAAGGAGTTGGAGAGATAAAACAAGATAGGTGCAAAACATCCGCCATGGTGCCCGGCCCTAAGCAGTTACTCAACATCAGTTCTCTTTCTATAGAAAATAGCTCCTGCCTGGTCCTGTTTGGAAATGCAAATTCTCCTAGCAGAAGTTATCTGTAACATCATGGCAGGTGAGAGTGATTGAGGTTGTCAGGGAGTGATCCCTAAAAGAGAGAAAAAAGATCATTCCAGAAACCTTGATTGAATTGGATGTTTCACTTGATGTTGAAAAGAGAAAATCAGAAGAAAGGAAGAGTATTAAAGACAAATATTGTTGACTGTATTATTTTCTGATGGCTGCTATAACAAATTGCCACAAACGAGGTGGCTTAGAACCACACAGATTTATCCTCTTATAGTTCTGGAGGTCAGAAATACAAAATAGGTTTCACTGGGCAAAATCAAAGTGTAGGTAGGGCTGTGTTCCTTCTGGAAGCTCCAGGGTAGAATTCGTTCCTTGCCATTTCCAACTTCTAGAAGATGCCATCATTCCTTGTTTTGTGACCCCTTTCAGCAGTCATATCATTATGACCTCTGCTACCATTGTCACATCTCTGATCCTCCTGCTTCCCTCTTATAAGGACCCTTTGATTATATTGGGCCCACACTCGCCTCATCTCAAGATCCTTACTGAAGCACACCTGTAAATTCCCTCTTGTCATGTAATGGTATCATATCCACGGGGATTAGAATATGGGCACTTTGGAAGAGGAGGGCACTAATCTTTCTGTCACACTGACTCTGCTGTGTGGCTGAGAAGCCTGTGGGTAGGCCATATTTCCCCGATTTTATCTGCTCTCTGGTTAATTCCACAGGATTCACCTCACTAAGCTTGAAAATGGACAGGCAGATTTCCTTACAGGAAACGTCACTGTGAAGTCTTTCAAAGCCCATTCAGAACATCTATAGGTTATCTATTAAATATACCAAATATACCAAGAGAGGCTATGCAGTGCTAAGGTACGTACAAGTCGCTTGAAGGGATAAAGCTGACTTTTCAAACGCAGCTCAATTATGAGAGAAGTTGGCAAGTGTGAGAGGCAGTGTTAACCCTTGTTAATGTCAAGGGTCTGCTAGACTTCCAATTAAATTTCTACCCAATTTTGACTCCCATCTTTAATGTCCTGAATCAGCAAATTGTGCTGATATCAGCACCCCAAAATGAATCCATTATAGCAGAAGTGGAGACAAGTTTGGCTGAAAACTTCATCCGGTTTTCATTTTGATTTGTATTGATTGCTATAATTTTCTTTTTTGTGGCTTTGCCAGGATGTGCTTTATCACAATGAGAACTGGCTCTTTTAATAGCGTCAGCCATCTCACTCTCATAGGGTCTGACCTCTGAGAATAGGCATTCATTGATCATTCGTGGCAATTTTCACCCTTCCATTCTGAAAATCTGAGTGGTTAGAAATTTTTTTTTTTACATCTTCAAGTGAGACTCTCAAAGAGCAGGTCTCTGGCTTTTTTCAAGGGGCAATAAGTCTGTCTAGACATACTTTTCCAGGAAACTAGGGTAATTTATGATTTAAAAAGGGAAAAGTGACAGCATTTTCTTCTGGCATTTTATTTGTCAGAAGTGTTTCCAATTAGGGTTTGTTCTTTCTGAGACAAAGGATTTCTAGGCTCCTTGGCTCACTGTCTGGTGTGCCAGCTCTTTGGTCACAGTGATTGGGTGACAGGCAGGTCTCCTCTTGGCTGTCGTGTGCTATCGTTGCTGAAAGTTGCATTCCCCTCTTCTTCTCTGCCTCCTCTGGGCTATGTCTACTTCTGCTCCCAGCCTGACAAACACCTATCTGCTTTCCAAACATTTCACTCTGGTGCGTTTGATCTAGCTTCCTAAGGGCACTGCAGCAGCCTGGGGGAATCCACCTACCTGGCACAGGCCGTGCCAACAAAGGACAGTGGAGCCTGCAGCGGTGATTCACAGACAACATCAGATCACACAGAGCTTTTGTAAGAAACCCCAGCCATTCCTGTTCCTTAACCCTGAGCTCCTTGTGTGTATTTTACAAGGCTCCGAAGCTAAAAATAGCTACTTTCATCCTCAGAGTCAGGTGGAACACCAATTGATGGTCTCCTGGATTGCAAGGCATGATTTGAAGGAGATGTTTTTTAAATGTGTAGATACTCTAAAATTGGTGTCTAAAATTCTTTAAGTGAGATCATATTTTTGAACAGATAGTTTTTTTCATTCCTGTAACCCTCCCCGTCAGGTTCTGTATATCGGATGGCTCTGCTCTCAATGGTGTTCCTTGCTTCAGGGAAGCTGGTTACATTTCTGAATGGATTTATAGCAGACACAAAGGTCTAAAAGTGAAGTGCCTTTGGTTTGCCAGAGCTATGTGCTCCAGACACTTGTTGTTATTGTTGTTGCTTTGTTTGTTTGGAATTACAAAAAAGCTTGGCTGGGATAACCAAGAGCCATGGTCTGGAGGACAAGACCACTGAGTTTCAGGATCAATCCTACAGCAGGGGAGGATATGGCTGAGGATGTCACCCAACGAGGGGACAGAACCCTGCCTAGTCTGGCTGAAGGAGTAAAGGGGCACGCCCATGCTCCCTGCCTCATGCTGGTTGTCAAACGCCAGGGGCAGGACAAAAGAAATTTCCAGAATAATTTTTGGAAATGCAGTTCACGTGTGTCCTGTGTGTCTCGGGCTGTATGTAGCTCAGGAGCCCTCCTTGCCATTTAGGGAAGTTTCCCACTGAGCGTGGTATCAGAGCAACAGGGCGCCTGAATTAGCAATGATGGAGGGAGGGTCAAACAGGTGGAGCCCAAGGTCCACTTCACAAGACCCGTACATGGGCTAGGGTAAGCAGCTGTGAATGCCCACATCCCCAGGAGGTGGGGGGCATTAGAATGCTGAGGGGACAAGGAGGCTGGAAGAAGCCTGGAATTAGGACAAAGAGATTGGCAACAGTTACAGAAAACAGGGCTGTTGTCACTCCATTGGACGAGTTCTGCTCTTTGTATTTCCCTGAAACTGTCTGATCTCCTCCATCACCCTTCCAAATGTATTTAGAGACACACTGCTGCACAACAGCTAGGCAGGAAGTGCCGAGGCATAGGCATTGGCGTCCTGCTTCTGAGAGAAACAGACCCGCATGCTCTGGAGAGCAGTGCATGCTGGGCACTGTAGCTGTGTGTTCACTCCATCTTCACAGCAGCAGCGGTGTGAGGAGCTGAGGAGCTCTAGAGCAGCAGTTCTCAACCTGTGGGTCGCGACCCCTTTGGGGGTCGAACGACCCTTTCACAGGGGTCGCCTAAGACCATCGGAAAACAAAAAGATA